AATTAGAAAAACGTGGCGTTTTTTTAACGTTAGCACCACGGAGAGGGATTTGGCAGTTAGTCAGGTGGACGAGTCCATCTGTGGTACAAAATTCTACTCACCTGGTATCGACAATCACGGGTATTTCCCTGTCCCCAGACGACCTGCTTGTCAGTTTTGATGTAATTTCCTTATTCACCAAAGTTCCTGTACCTGACACCATCGCAATCATTGAAGACTTGGTTCATTAAGGACGAAACACTGAGGTACCCCCCCCTGGTGAGACACTGCTTAACCAATACATACTTCACTTGGGATGGAACTTTCTACAAACAAACTGAGGGCACCCCAATGGGCTCCCCCTATCTCCGGTTGTCGCCAATATTTTCATGGAGAAATTTGAGACTGACGCCATCCAGACTGCCACTCTGCACCCAACCTTATGGAAGAGGTACGTGGATGACACTTTTGTCATCTGGCCACATGGCCGGCCTGCTCTAGACCAATTCTTCGACCACATCAGTTCCATACACCCAGCCATCAGATTTACCATGGAAGTTAAAAAAGATGGCAAGCTCCCTTTTTTGGATGTCCTAATAAAAAAGAGACCTGATGGTTCAATGAGCCACTCTGTCTACAGGAAAGCTACCCATACGGATGCTTACCTGAAGCCGGATTCCCACCACCATCCATCCCAGAAGAATTCCCTCATCAAGACTCTGCACCATAGAGCCCAATGCATATCCGACCAGGAACACATCGCCAGTGAACTCAAGCATGTACACCAAGCTCTTAAGGCTAATGGTTACTCCGACTACACAATCCGCAAAGCTATCACTCCAACCATGAAGAACGACCCTCTTGAGGAGTCTTTGAAAACCATCACTTTACCCTACATTCAACACATTACATAAAATCCGTGATCTGGTTCGGTCTGTAAAAGATGTGATTCCCGACATACCTGGCGTCTACAAACTAAGTTACCTCTGTGGTAGTAGTTACATTGTATAAACTTAATGTCATATCTCGGACCGCATTCGTGAACACAAAGCAGACCTAAAACACGGTAGGACCAACACCTCGGCCGTGGCAGATCACGATTATAATTCAGTAGGCTCACATGACATTGACTTCTCCAAGACAGGGGTTCTTTGCAAGCCATCTGGCTACCATGAGAGATTCGTTCATGGGGCTATCCACATATACAAACACAGAGAAAATTTCAACCGAGAAGATGGATTTTGGCTTAGCAATCATTGGAAGGACTTGATCAACCATTTCGGGTCTTAATTGATTGTTCACGCTTACGGTGGCTTTCAGACCACATCCATTATTTCGTCTCCCCCTTCCTCTTTTCCGAACATAGATGGACTCGTCCATCTGAACAAACTGCCAAATCGCTCTCCGTGGTGCTAACGTTAAAAAAAACCGCCACTTTTTTCAAATTTTCTTGCTGTGGTTTTCACACCTGATGATGATTGCTTGTGTTGCAGTCGAAACGTCGTGAGAATTTGATTGCTTAATATTTTTGTTATTTTATTGTTTCCCTTCTACATGACTTTACCGAAAGAAACAGGTATCTTGCCATCCCTTTGTTAAATAGGACACTTGCATGGAGTAAGTTGTTGGTCTCAGCTAAGTTAATTTGTGCATACACACATACATACACAAACACAGAAAAGCCCATGAATTTGAGTTTGGCATGCATTTTTTTGTATCCCAGAAATCGGTAAAAAAATATATTGGATGTGGATTTCCAACAGTCCCAACATCCACAAAGGGCATTCATTTAACGGAGGTGTCACCACTTTGCCAAGATAAGAAAACAAAACGTAGCGTGCTATAAAACAGACTGTACAGCATCCCTCTTACTGTACAGCACAAGTAAGGCATAATTTTGTGATAACAATGAAAAATAAATCTCAAAAATAAACAAGAGCAGTGCTACAGGTACAGGGGTTTTATATTTTAAATGATGGCCACATATATATAGAAGTAAACGGCCGTGATTTTTGACCATCCCAATTTTGGAGGCTGCAGATGTCTTTGACGCAGCTATAGAAATGCACGCAACATCATAGTCATCATCGTCAATCTGGGGGTTTGACAGCTCTCACTCGCTCGCCCATTCCTGACGTGAGGAATGGGCGAGTGCGCTCGGCTCAGCCCCAGCTCCGCACGGCCACCGCGTTACAATGACGAACCTCAGCGGGTTGTGGGTTTTTTTTTCCTTTCGCAGGCGGTGGGGATGAGAGGGGTGGGGGCTGGCGGGCGAGTGGTGTGGGAGTTGGAACCAAAACTAATAATCAGCTTCTTGGTGTGAAAAATGCAAGGGGCAGCAGATTTTTTTTTGTTCTCTCTTTTTCGTTGTTTTTAACCCGGGCCGTGTGAACTTTATAAAGTGCTTCGCACGTTAAGCCGGCGAGCAGCTGAGTGTAGGGTTTTGTGAGACTTACATCGTTGATGCTAAATGCCCGCGTTCTAATGCTGTTGAGCTTTTAATTTAGTGTGCAGGGTATGTACTCGATGTGATAATTCTTTTTTTTACGTTTTGTTTTTTTTTATCTTCAAAACGAGAAAATGAAAAGCTTTGAATTTTTTTGTTGTTGCTAGAACCGACAGCCATTGGTGGAAATTCAACATTCTGATGCGGGGACTAATTTCTCCATCGGATGACTTCCTCTACAAAGTGGATGTTGTCTACACACAATGCAGTGATGATTTTTTGCCCTCCCTGACCAGGATTTGAACTCACGAACCCCCTGACTTTGAGTCGAGAACTCTGCCAACAACAACAAGCGCCGTCCATCTGTATTTCTAGTGATGATGAAGCAACACGCTTGGGGCGGTGGCATATGACGTCAGTTATGTCAAAGCCACGATCGTGCACGCAGAGACATGATGCAATTACCAATGCAAGGGAAGTCTGGGGGGAGGGGCAGAGCTCCTGTGGAATTTCACTTAATTTTGACTGGTGCCATTATTGTGATTTCGAAATGCTGCCAGCCATTAACAGCATAAGCACACGCTGTGCTCTGAAATTAGTGGAGGTCAATCCGGTAAAGCAAGTGAAAGGGAGCAGGAGGTTTATTAACACGGTATTAGCATTGACTATACGTCGTAGAGATCGTGACGAAAACGTAAGGACATTGTGGTGCAATGCCCCTGGCATGTATCGTAGTATTAAGTCTGAATTATGTTTTACTGCATTGAGGCAATGCTCATCTCCTGCCTATAGCCCTAAGCCAGTGAGATAAATCCCACGTTCCTAATGTGGGGGTGACTCTCTCCATAGCACACCCACTGTTGATTTTCCCACAAAGTGGTAATCATTTTATTGACCCCCAGGGGGATGATGAGTTGAGTCAACCCCCAACCAGGATTTGAACTCACGACTTTCTGTTTCCGAGATAGAAGTTTGCAAGTTCAAATTCTGGATCTGGGTTAACTTGTTTGATTTCTATCATTATTTTTTCTATGGTGGATATAACTATTACCAAAAAGTGTACAAATGCAGGACCCTCCTCCAAAAGTATTGAGACTTAATGCAGGTTTTTTTCTGAATCAAGGCCTTTATATTATTATTTTTGATCATCATTAAATAATTATTAACAGCATTGGCTCTGATTATAATCAAAGCCAATGCTGTTGATGCCATTACAGGATGGCTTCATTTCCTCGGCCAGACCTCACAGCTGTTGCACGAGTAACACCCAGCCTCCAAGACCTGCTCTTACAGTTTCCCACCATCTCGCTTTAGATCTTCCATCGGTCACTGACCTCTGGGTGCCACTGCAATGGCTGCCTCGGTGGCCTAACATCCTCCACACGGCACAAGTTCCCCCATTGATCGCAAGTTCTTCTTTCATTGTACAGCTTGTTTATCCTCCATTTTTCGTGACCATTTTTAGTTGTTACTTTATTTTACTTTATCAGGTAAAGGCCCGCTGAGCTATGTACTGTAGCTCCTTTTAAGAAGCGACCTGGCCACAAATGAAAGCTCAACGAAGTGGCTTATCACGTGGAAATGTATAGCAGCCAAATACTCTGAACGCATGCTTCGAATGTGGAGGGAAAAGCGGAGGACTCAGAGAAAAATGTACACGACCACGGGAAGAACACGCAAACTCTAAATATACAGCAGCAGGCATCAGGGTCGGGATCAAACCCACGACCTCCTGTATACCAGGCGAGGTAGTTGACATCCCGCCACCTTGTGACTCTTACTCATCATTTCACTACGATACCTTAGGGGCAAACCTTTAGTTTATAATGTAGATTTGATTCAATGCCTGCTAACATTTGGAAATATTATTCAACGTTATACTGTACGTAATTGCAAAGGGGAGATTGCAGATTTATTGCCACAAATAAATATGGGACGCAATTCCCATCGAAATTGAGGTTGTAAAGAACATACCAAAGTGAACATTGTGCATGTCCTATGAATAACTAGAGCTCGTAATTGATTGGGAATTGAATACTCTATTCGTGATGATGAATGTAAGCGGCATCGGCATGTTACCTCATTATCGCGGAATAAAATTTGAAGCTGCCTTGTCAGCAGCTTTTTTTTGTACTGTGACATTCATAACAATGTGTGCAGTGCAACTGCGACTTCACATTCACCAACATCCATTCTGCAAATAGGAAGACGACTTGGCACACACTCACAGCCAGGTTGCGCCGTGGTTAGAGCATTCGGGTCTCGGTGGGACATTTTCAGGTTAACAACCATGCTGGAGTTGAGTCAGCACATCAAACCTCGCACGATAAATTCAATTAGAAATCCTTTAAAAGCAGTTAACAGTGGTCAACATATGGATATACTCGCGCCTGCCATGAAAATGTGGAACTTCCATCGTCGGCACAGGACTGCTTTTGAAGATGACTGCCGCTCCCATCGCACTCGAACTTTTTGACTCGTACCCCAATTGAGTCAAATAAATAAACAACCTCGACCGTGACTTTGCCGATGAATCCACAATTCACAGGGCTTGTCTTTCTGTGCATTTCTGCAGCTCCTGTTGTCTACAATGCGGCCGTCTGGGTGACTGCCGCAGCCCCCAACGCACCCTGCAGCTCCCCCCTCCCGCGCCAGCCGGACCACCGCTCTGGGCACCATGCCATCCCGGCCGCCCCACCTCGGCCCCTACCGACCGCCCCTGCCGCCGCCGCTCGCGCGTTCAGCGGCCGTGGCCTCCCTGTTGGCGAGGCTCGCCGTGTGCCTGGTGGCCCTGGCAGCGCTGGGCAGGGCCGGGCCGGAGGACTCGGAGCAATGCGCCCGCAAGGAGCACCCTCGCTCCAGCCTGGCAGGTGAGGGAGGCACCGCGGCCGTGCCTGCGTGGTGCAGCGGGCTCAAACGCAAAAGGCCGTTCTTCAGAAATGAGTTATTTTTTTTTTACCGAGATGATTCGAAAGTGCATAGTTTCAGTGGCTTCCTAATATCGGAAGGAAAAGCGTTCCAGACGGCCGCAGAAGCGTATGTGAAAGCGCCGTGCGATGCGTTGACCGCCGCCTTTGTTCGATGGCCAGCGAGAAGCCGCTGTGGGGATGACCGGAGTGTCACGTGACGGTTCATGCTGCTTAACGGGATCAGCGAGGTGTTGTGGTTCATTTGTGGCGAGCACTTTGTGCGTAATAAGTGCGACCTTATAAATATCCCCCGTGTGTGCGGAATTTATCCTGCTCCTCCAGTTAACTTCTCATCGTGAGGGTTATTGCACACGGTCAATTTTACAGTCACAGCGTTCAAAGCCACGTTCGTTTGATGAAGGCGTCACAAGCAGCACTCAATATAGGTTTGGATAATTTGGTAGCGCAGCTCTGATGTATTGTCTGGATGTAATGTGTACGTATGTATGTTGAATTTCTTTCACACCGTCTGTAGCCAACCCTGCTGAGGGAAATATCGGAGGTCTTGCTGAGCAACACGCCACGCAAACCCGATATCGCATCGGAGATGTGATATCATGGGCATTCAGTTGCCTCCCACGAATAAAACAACCTGATTAGTAATCTGTCGAACGTCACGAGCAGGAGGCTCGTGACAAGAAAAAGAAGAGGCAAAATCGGTGTGGTTGGTTGGTCCATGCATCCGAGCGATCAACAACTGGAAGAGCACACCGCAGAAGACTGTTGCTGTCGGTTCTCGGTTGGTGTTTGACTCGGCCCATCATTTTGTCAAAGTTTCTAAAAAAAAAATCAAGTACCGCTCCATGTGAAATTAACGGCGCCTCTCCCGTAGATCGGTGCCTCCGTTGGAATGTGAAACGTTCCGCTCTGACCCAGGGCTGCTGATGCCGTTTGAGCCGCCGCCTGAAGCTAATTTGAACATGGAGACAATTTCACTCTGACTCTCTCGCACCCTGGGATTGAATCCGGCTTTCAGCCATTTGCTATTAAATCAGGTTTTCAGTTGTAGTCAGTTGATGATTTTAGCCTGATCGATAATGACTTCTGGGGCCAGTATCACGCCTGGCTAACTTGGTATTTTCCAGCGCCGATGTTAATGCATTGCGACCGGATACTCAATTGCACGTTTATGTCGAGGCAACCTTGGAGATGTCCATTGCTCGGTGCAGACTCCAAACGCCACTCATTGTGCATTGCTCGCTATGAAGCCAATCGCAGTGAAGACTGCCGAAGACTCCGCTCACCTTGTTGTCCACCGCTTTCGGACGGGTGGCTCTTCAGACGTTAACATTGAAATTACTTCACGGTGAAATACGAACACGGCGCCCATCCCGAGCAGCAGCGGCAACAGGCAAGCGGTTTTCCAACAACCAAACGTGCATTCTTAATGTGCGAACAAACGGAACAAAAGCGGTTCTTTTGAAAGCGGCAGGTATAAATCTGCTCCGGTGCCAATTTTCGAACTTGGAGAGCGGCTCTTTTTTAGCTGCATTGTTCATTTGGATCAGCGTGAACTGTTTTGCTGCGGAAATGTGATGGAATTTACGCTGTCTTGGGGATCGGTAAGGGGGCCTGCCGCATTAGCGAGTTGGACGGGAGGGAGGGAGGGGGCGTGCTTGGATGCTGGACGTGAGAAAGGAGGGAGCCAGTGCTAGGGAGTTGCTGTGTCTGGAGAGAGAGAGAGAGAGGAGAGGCTTTTTGTCTCCTTCACAATCCGTATTCTCTTGTAGCTTTTGCTGAGAGTGGATTCTGGGGAGACTGTGTGGCTGTGAATGATTTATTGTGAAAAAAGGTCCTTTATGTCCTTTGCATTGTGAGTAGCAGGTGTTCAGAAGCTCACTTGGCTATCTTCTATCTTGAAGCCGCTTTAGCTGAAAATCGTCGTGGAAGTGGGAGAGCGAGAGAGAAAAGGCTTAAGGGGCTTGTCGAGGGAACAGCGATAGACGACACCAGGGCGGTGTCTTCGCCGCTGTGTGCCCTGCTCAGATGGGGGGGTCACGCGAGACGCCGTTCACTCGAGCAGCTCACGCCGGCTGACGGGATAACAGCCTGCGTGGATAGATGGTGAAAAATCAAGAGGTCGCCAAGAGGTCACGCGAGAACAAGGTCACGCGAGACCAAGGTCATCAAGAGGTCACGCGAGACCAAGGTCACGCAAGACAAAAACCAAGAGGTCATGTGAGACCAAGGTCAAGCGAGACCAAGGTCACCAAGGTCACGTGAGACCAAGGTCACACGAGACAACCTGCGTTGATAGCAAGTCCCGTGTGAGATTGGTGAAAAAACCCCACACACTCACACACTGTATCGTTAAGTTAATGCCCCTCATACTGTCGCGAGTGAGAAACCCACTCCTGCATCCTGATGAAATGCATTTGGCAGTAGCAACACAGCCGAAGCCGAGGTCCTTGCCGCATCTCAGCGGCTAATGCAGCCCTCACAACCCGATTGTTTTCCTAACCCAGTGCAGCCGAGTAAATACGCCTGGGAAGGCGAGCAGGAATCAAGGCTCGGTAAGAGCCTAATGTTTGTTCAGCGGGAAATATAGATACATGCGTGGGGTTTTTATTCGTTCAAAACATGTTTTTAATTGTTATTATATTTTTTTATAATGGAATGCGTAATAATTAAGCAGGAGGTAAAGCCCTGAAATTCCATTGCTCAATCCACTGCCGGCAGAATGGCCTCCGCTAGCGGGACTTCGCGAGAGCCCTCCTCGAGGGTGACTTGGCCTACTCTTTCATGCTTGCCGGACGTCTCGGAAACGATGACAGTACTCAACACTTTACCCCACCACAAGCCTCCTGACAAAGTGAATAACAGTGGTGAACCCGTTTATACTCAGCAGATTATGGGGGCGAGTTGTTTAAGAAAGTTTTTTTATTGTTTCAATTTCTGTGCCTGCATTCCTTCCCCCCGCACCTCCGATTGCCACGGGTGGCTACGTACGGTGAGAAAGACGTTCAACATACATCACAGAACTGGCTGCCCCTGGATGAATCGGGAAGTAATGGGATGGCTTTGTAAATCTGGGATGGTGGTGCCGTGATTAAGCACTTGACTCACAAGAGTGAGTTGAAATCCTGAGCAGGGAATTAATCAGTCTATTATTCCTCGAGGCTCAGTCAGGCAGATGGATTACCTTTTTAATCCACGTGAGAGAGTAAACTGAAACCAAAAGTCTCTTACTCAAGGGAGACTCGGGGGAAAAGGCACGATCTGTAGCAAACCAGAGTACAAGTTCAATAAAGCCATGGCAAAGTGATATCAAAAGTTTGGCGAAATGTAATTTTTATTTATCAGAATCTTTATTTAGACTGGAGGAATCCGATGAGCTACGAAACTATGTTTTGCAGATGCCCAGCATTGGCGGGTCAGACATACATACGTGCTATGATGAGCACCGTTCTGTGAGATGACCATATGAGTTTGTCCTGCGGAGAGACTGCTGCCCACTCAGCAACGGCCCACGGCCGCACCCACAAACTCGCTGGAGCCGGGAGACGACACCGGTGACTCCGTGACTCTGTGTGTTTGTGTAAATGTCATTCATTTTTGGGAAAATAGTGAGGCGAGGTGGTGAAATCACTGGACGGCTCTCACTTACCAAGGAAACAAGACACGTCATGTGCCACTAACAGCTTCGGGCCAGCATGCAGCCATCACTCTTGGAAGCAATCAAGGTGGCAAGGGCCGCTTACTCATTTGATGAAAACGGCGATAAAAAAAGTCCAGACCCTGGTGCGAGATGTGTCGATGCGAGTCTGTTGGACGGGAGACCCTCGATCGAGCGCGACGTGTTTGGCACGCGATTCCGGCAGACCGCTTCGCCACTAAAGGTCTCTCTCCACCGCCGCCGCCGCCGCCGCCATCGCCGTTCCCACACCCGGCGGGCGTGAGCGCCGACGTGCCCGCGACGTTTAAACGCCGCATTAGGAGCGGCGGCGATGAAACGGTGAGCCAAATTGGATCGGCGCAATGACTGTGCAGCCCAGGAAGGCGTTCGACCCCGTTGCCCCGGCGCGGAAGGAGTTAAATACGATTTGGCGAAGCCTCCAAGCACACCCCCCCCCTCAACTCAAAAACAGAGTGGGGGGGGGGGGTACAGGACGTGGAGGGGGGGGGCGTGGGTGGGAGGGAGAAATTCATTTAATCTTGTGACAGCGTGATGCGCTAGAGCAAAGGCGTCTTCGGGCTTTGACAAAACGGTCACGTTTTAAATTTGAAACGTGCAAGCAGGCAGAGCTGAGAGAGATTAGGAGTAAGTACAGTAACATTTTGGACTGATGCATGGTGATCTCGACAATTCGGGGAGACAGCTTTTTTTACTTTATTTTTTTTCATTAAACTTTTTGTGCTGTCATTACAAGAACATTACATGATCTTTAGCAGTGTTTTCACAAAACCCTGAGTGGGTTCTTCGACAAGGGGGGGGGGGGTTAGGGTTCGGGAATATCAAAGTGGCAACAGTGTTTCACCGTTGATGGACGCCTGGAGCCTGCCCTGAGAGCTATTTGCTCAATCGTGGGATATTTTTTTGGCAGTATCAAAGTGTGTATCAAAAAAAGGTTTTACCCTTTCTGGCAATTAAACAGGAGTTGTTTCAAGACGTTCAAACACACCAAATAGAAACCTTTCGCAATGAATCAAGTGACTGCATTAACGACACACGGCACTTTGTGGTGAACATGCAAACCCAAACATGCTCCGATAATACTTTCATACTGGCAAAAAAAGGTATCCCATGAAATTTCTGCTCACTCGAGTTATAAATCCCCTGATACGTGGCATTGTCTTTGTACCGTTCGTCTTTCGGTGTTCTCTGGTCTGAGACTGGTGAGACTGGGCCCTGAAGGAGGCCGTCTCTGGTGTAGGCCAATCAGTTTCAAAGACAATGCCCA